TTTTTCTTTCTCCCTTCTGAAGAAACATTTAGAGATTTAAGAACTGTTTATGCTGTGTATGAAATTTGCTAATTTTTAGTTTCTTTTTCCCCTCTGTTTTGGACTGCTGAGTTCTAGTGTGTTGAAACTGATGAGTTGGTAGGTAAAGCCTTTCTGTTTTTATGAAGCAGCCATTGCATTCAAGCTGCTACAAAGTTGCATGGAGCTTGCTGAAACTTATGGCCATTTGAGCATTAGCCTTTTTTCTAGGAATGGAGAAGTTTATGATATGTTTCAATAACTAGATCACACTGTGCAATAAGTGTTAAAAACTGCTGGCTGATATTGCAACACGTTATCCAGTTTAGTTTGTTATGTTTCTTCTTTGCAGTTACTTTAAGGAATGCTGCCGAGCTGCTGGAGTTCTCAGCAATGTATAATGCTGAACAGTTAAAACTGTCCTGCTTGCAGTTCATAGGGCTCAACATGGCAGCTTTGCTTGAAGCAAGGTAAGGAGGAATGCAAATGTGTTCATGTACTAGCTGTTAAATTCAAGCATCCCAAAAAGGCAAAAGAGTTGGAAGAACTAATGAGAGCAGTTAAATGTTAAAATGCAAATTAATGCTGCTAGTTTAAAAGGAGCCTCATTTTTGCTGAACAGGGAGAGAAAAAACAATTTAATATCTCTATGTACTGTATGAGTTCTATAGTACAAAACCCTATGTTACAGTGTGACATGAAGAGCCTGAATTAAGGAGAAAAGCCTCTCTTGAATTCAGTGGGCTTTTACATTAGGCCTAATCTTGTTTTGGTTTTTTAAATTGTTTTTCAAGGTGCATAAAATCAATGGCTATAAATACCTAGAGGGCGGGGGCCAAATAGATGTTGCTGGGCTCTTTTTAGTGCTGCCCAGTGACAGGACAAGGGGCAATGGGCAAAAACTGGAACACCAGAAGTTCCACACAAATTTAAGGAAGAACTTCTTTACTGTGAGGGTGACAGAGCACTGGAACAGGCTGCCCAGAGAGGTTGTGGAGTCTCCATCTCTGGAGATGTTCAAAACCTGCCTGGACGCTTTCCTGTGCAAGCTGTTGTAGTGAACCTGCTTTGGCAGGGGGTTGGACTAGATGATCTCCTGAGGTCCCTTCCAACCCCTGCCTTTCTGTGAAATCTGCTGTGGTGCTTCCTTTTGCCTACTGAAGTTAGAGACCTGAACTGGTTCAGAATGCCAGCACTTCATTGCTGTACCACAAAACTGCTTTACTTGTATCACAGATAAAGGAATTAATTCATATTAGCAATTTTCCTCTTCACATCTCTTTTAACCTTTGATTTGAAGAGAAGAATAAAAATCTAATAACATGGTCTTAAGTATTATTCTGAATTCAGATTTGTTTCATCTTAAGCATGGAAAGGACACACAACATTCTTACTAGAAGTAAGACTATATCTGCATTTTAGTGAAAATCTGAAAATAGCATTACTTGAGTAGCAAGACTTTTAATTTGAGACACCTGAGACAGATAAAACTTAGTCTGGAACTTGGCTTTTTGCAAAGAGAGCTGCTCATGTGGGCAAAACAGTTCTGTTGAGTAAAGTTTGTTGCTGTAGTATTATTTTTTGGCATAAATGTCAAGTGATGTTGTGGCTGAGTTTTATAGAAGAATGTACATAGACTCAAAGTATTAGATACGTGTCAGGAAGATTTGAAAGTATGCAGAAATAGGTAAAGTAATGACCAGTTCATGGTAAGTTAACCGTGTAGGTCTGTATAGTTTGTGGGCTTAAGTAAAGGTAGGCTAGCTGGAAAGATGGTAGCTTTAATCCTGCCTTACAGCATGGACATTGACTAGTTTATATTCTCTGTTCTTTTTCTTCCTTCTCTTCACTGTGACCACCGTGAATAGATAATAATGCCTATGAGTGAGATTCATCTAAAACATTCATTTGAATTTTCCATTAATGTGCCTTTTTTTTTTTTTTTTTTAAGCTGGTAAGATAAATTCGTATTTATTTTTTTAGGACTCTGGATGTCTTAAGTGATGAAGTTGTAAAGGATCTTTCTGTTTATTACAGGAAAATGGTAAGTTGTACAATTTGAGTGTAAGCTGATTAGGTTTCAAATGAGAACAGATGAGTAATAAATATATACCTGCAGGGTCTGTGGATGACAGGCTGAATATGGAATGTCTGACTTAAATGCTAAGGTTAGCTACTGCTATTATCACTCTCCATTATTCACTCGCCACTGCTGCAACAGTATTGTCCTTTAAATTAATTAATTATACACATTAAACCTATTAATGTTCTGTAATTGTTGTATGAAAAAAATAAAATTGTTGTATGAAAAAAACCCATAAGCAATACCTCTGGAAAAGAGCATCTGTTGCTTAGAGGAAAGGAGAAGAAAGCAAACTAGACATCTCCAAAGTAAGGTTCATGATGATCACATAGATCTTAAAAGCAGTAAGAAAAATAATGGGGAAGTTGAACTTTAATGTGAAGGAGAAAGCCAAGGCACATTATAATCGAGTATTCTTTAACCGTAAAGCAGTAAAAGACTAATGTTTGCCAAACCTTGAAGCATTTTTTTTATCAGGAGTTATAGGCAGCTGAAGCATATGCATTCTGAGTCTATTGCTTAAAATAATTCTCCTGTTTTCCTTAAAGATGTAACTTAAGTTTATAAGCTGGTTCAATAACTAATTACTTGATCTGTAAAAGTGTTTTAAATGACAGTCAGTTTTGGTCCTTTTACAAGAGATCATATATTTGCTAGCATACAACTTAAGAGAAACTTAGTGTAATGGCTTTTTCAACTACAGATTCCAGCTATGGTCAGGAGAGTAATTACTCCATATCCAGATGGACCTGACATAAGTTCTTTTGAGCCTGAAGATGGAGAGAACTTTGTCTTTTTAAGGGAAGAAATGAATGCAGAACAAAATTCTCAGTAAGTATCTATTTTTCATCAACATTTTTAACTAGGTGAACTGTATATGGTATTTATCCCTCTTTGGATGATGCCTGACTCCTTTTTGAGTTCAGAATTGAAATATTAAGAAATAGGAGAAATTGAGATTTCAAAGACTGTTCCTTAAGTATTTTTAAATGTTACAGAACTGCAGTGGAGCACTTTTTTCAATTTCTAAGTAGCATCTGAGTAAAGATGCAAAAGATAGCAAAACAAGTATTCACAGTAATATTTGGGAGTTGTGCATGTGATGAGAGTACCTGTGTATGTGTGAGACCAATGGTGGAGTTCATTGAACTTCACTCAATCAGGAGAAATCAAAAGAGAGAAAAGCACACTTTAATGTACTGTAGATTGGTCTGGAAAATTATGATAATCTACATTTCTTAGTATTGACAGAATTGTTTTTTGAAATAGGAAGTTTTGCAGCATGAGTTTTTAATCTATCAGTTTAAAGTGACTACTCTCTGGCTGTAGAATAACAAAACACAGTGACCTGTGTTTAAGAGGTGTTAGAAAATGTGATCCAAACAACTGTGGATGAGGTAGTTTGGTCTTGGTGGTTTTTTGGACTTTGGGTATTTTGTCTTTGAACATTTGTTCTGAAGACATGGAGGTGAGAGCAATAGAATCTGTAAAGTCTTGTTAGACTAACTTAATATGCTGCTTTTATCTGACAAGCAAATAATGAAATTACAATTGCTTTTTTTGGTACAGTTTTTAATCTGGAGAAATTGACTATGACATCACAACTATGAAAAGTTAGTTTGTTAGGATGACTTGGTAACATGCTTCCAAATAGTGAATTATGATGTCACTGTGGAGATGAGATGTCGCTTGCGGTATTGCGTACTGTTCTGACTACTTGCATCAAGAAAAGTTATGCTAAATGAACTAGTACAGATAAGGACTAGTTGATCAAGGAAACTGAGAGGCTATTTTGTATTAGACTTCCAGTGTTTTTTAGAGGCTAGACGATAGCCTTTATGGAATAGGGCAGTCCAAGGATTAAAACAAAACCCAAACATTGTAAGGTTGCAGTATTGATATAGGAATAAGTATGTAGTTATTCTACAAAGAGCTTCTCAGAGAAGCTTTTTGAAATAGGGTTGCTATAGCTTTGGTCCATATAATTCTGAATTTCTAGTAGTTTTGTTAAAATGAAAGATGCCTTTTATTTTGTTTCACTCTCCCTAATATCATACATAGCAACATGTGATGTTTAGGTAACATTACTATGTACCTACTTTATTGTAGAAGTAGTATTATCTCGGTAGCAATATTTGTGTTGGGGAAAAATGAGACCAATTGTGGAGTTTATTGAACTTCACTAATTTAAGAGAAATCAAGAGAGAAAAAAAAGTGGAGACTTGGATGTAGTTTGCTTTATGTCAGTTGCTGCGATGTGTAGCAGGTTTAATCTGACCTAGGTGGCAGTGCCAGCCTGTACAGCTGCTGTATCTTCCACTGTCTCAGCAGAAGTCTTTGTGCAGTGTACTAGACTAGATCTAAATTGGAAAGAACTTTTTCTCTTCCTCAAGGGTTTTCCCCCTCCCACTGAATTGTTTACTGAATAGCTGTGCCAGTGCACAGGCAGAGCAAGAACAAGCAGCTCGTGACAGCTGTTGGGACTAGGTGTTACTGCTTGAAGTATAACTGCTGCTGCTGACTGAAAGACTTGATATTGGCTCTGATAGTTCTGATGCTCATTTTCTTTGTCTTTAATCCATCTTGGCTTGTTTGTGTTTTTGTTGTTGTTGTTTTTGTTTTTAATAGGGAAGCCCTTTTCAAAAGAGCAAAAACTAAGGCAAAAAAGAAGCCACGAAAACGATCTGACAGCTCTGGAGGATATAATCTATCAGATATTATTCAGAGTCCAGCCTCCACAGGTCAGTGGGAAAGAGGTTCCTTTCAGTTATAAAAACAGAACATAAAGTTAATATGCAATGCAGTGCAATTTCTGTACTTCACTAAGGAAATCTTGCAAAGATTCTTTCTTTTCTTGTGAACGCCATAGTTGAATTTGAATCGTGAATTTTTAAGGTTCAGTTTTATTTGAAAGGATGTTTGTCATATTAAGCTTGTGCCCAAAGTTCAGATTCTGTAAAAACATGTATTTTGTCAAATGAAGTTAATGGACACTTTCCCATGTGGTTTTAATAAGTGGAACATTTCTGCTAATGTGTTTTGGCTTTTTTTTCTGGAATATAAAAAATTAAATAGTCACTGTTTATTAAAAAGATGGTGGAAGCCTTCATTTTCAACAGAAAAGTAGTGGTGTTACTTCCTAAAACTGTGTATTGTGAGACAGAGAAAGAAAACTGGGAATAATCTTATTCTGAAAAATAATCTTTAAGAGAGTCTTTTTTTGCTTATACTTGTTACATTTTAGTATACTGGATAAGGTAAACTTCTGGTTTTGTTCTATTCATCGTATGGGATGAATAACTTTTCGATTTTTTTTTAGGCATTGTTTAGTCTGGCTCTCATGATTTAATAGTTCTGCTGTCTTTTCTTATTTCTTAGGCTCAATAAAACTGGATAAAACTAACTCTGTAGAATCACTTCCAGAACTCTTAACGTCTGACTCTGAAGGTAGTTATGCAGGAGTGGGTAGTCCCAGAGACTTGCAGTCCCCTGACTTCACAAAAGGATTTCATCCAGAGAGGACTGAGGTTGGGCTTTTGTTCCTAGCAATTAATTTAGTTTTGTTTGTTTAGTCCCTCAAAAGCAGAATTTGTATTTTGGAATGTTTCTGAGAAGCTGTTGTCCTTAAAATGGGGTAGACAACTTCACGTAGTTATCATTTGTCTGATAAAACAAGTAAAAATGAGTATTCCTTATTAAATCTTTTATTCATGTGGTACCATAATAAGAATTTTTATATGCTGTAGTATTCAGAAAATTTCAAACTGAAAGAGCAATTATGTAAAGTCTATATCAACTTCATTTAAAATGCAAAGCAAATCTGAAGTTCAGAAGCCAAAAAGAAAACCAAACCAAAAAAAACAGAAGCCAAAAAACTCCAGGAAACTCCTGCTGTTCTTCAACTACAGCAGTGTTGGACAGAAGTATGGTGCAGGATAACTAAGGCATAACTGGCAAAGTGAAATAAGTTGGGGAGAATTATGCCTATGTTTAGTGTTAAAGCTTTAGAAGTGAACATGTCCAAGTGATTTTCCCACTGTCAAGGTGCGTATTTGGACTTGAATGATTCAGAGTGAAGAAAAAAAAAAACAAGGAAACCCCCCCCCCCCCCAAACCCAAAAGGTACAAATAACAGACTGATCAGGGATTCACTACATTATTGCTATTTTTGTGGTATCCTTTAAAATCTTTTCACTCACACATGTCATTCAAGTTGTTTGTAGCATTGCTTTTTTTTTTTCTAAATTAAAAAATGTGAGAATATTTATTTAACATTTTTCTGTCTTTTTTTTTTTAGATGAAGGACAAAGCATGCAGTCAGGTTATGAAACCTTCTCAACCTCATAAAGAGATTAAGTCATACAAGGGGTCATCAACATTGACACAGTCTGTTCCACAGTCCATTCCCAATGCCAAAAACAACTCTGCAAGCTCTCCCAATTGGCTAGCAACCAGTTTCAGGTAGAGTCATAGTTGTGGTACTTACCTAACTTAAAATCACTGTTCTACCCTTGGTAGTGTATGCTAATAATCTCAGAGTAAAAAGCTATCTGGTTTTCAAAATGATTATACATTACTTGACATGTGAACTAAAGATTTTGGTAGTTTAAGAAAACTGGTACACTTTTTACAGAAATAAAAAGTGAGTCCGTTAGGAATCTGTATTTTGTCTCACTATGTAAATGTGCAAGTCTAGTCTGTGCAGAGAGGGCAACATATCCCACAACCAACTCTTTGGTCTTTAGATTGAGTGGAACGTGTTCCGCCTTCATTTCTTTATTTCAAAGCTTGTCCTTCAATGTAATTGTAACACAGCTTAGTTTACAAATGCCTTTAAGTACACAGGTTTTAATTTATATTTTTATGTAAAGCTTGGAAATGTTTGGATTTAATTAATGTTCATTTCTGTGGAAGTTTAAAATCAGGTCATTTATGAATAAGAAACTGATTCCTAAAGCTTGAGAATGTTACTGGTGTTTGTACAGAGCTTTAACTTTGTAAAGTGTTCTGTTTGCCATGTGAAATAATTTTAATCCTGCTCTTCAAAGAAAGATCTAATTCAGCCTTCATGAAAGCAATGCCTCTCATACTTAGCGTGAGCAATTGCCTACTAAATAAGTATCCTGGATTTAGATATCTAATTTTTTTTAAGTAATCATAGTTCACATCTTCTTGTTTCGTAGTATGATGAGTCTTGAAAGTATTTTTATAGTGTGCTTTTAGATATGTATATATTTATAAAAGTTTTGTGAGAAACATTCTATTTGAGGTTTGCCATAATTGAGGAAACAGACATAAATTATACATCCGGTTACCAATCTTATGTATTATTTAGAGGATTTCAGTGAAGGCTGGACTGTGGAATGTAAGTAGAAATGAGTGCCTTGTAAGATAACTTCTTATTTTTCATTTAGCCCTGCCAGCCCTCCTGCTATGGATCTTAGAACCATCATGGAAATTGAAGAAAGTATGCAGAAATGTGGAACCATGCCAAAGGCAAACTCGGGGTTGGTAAAAAACCAAAATCTATAAAAGAGAAGCGTGATATACTTGGCTATTATGAATTTACTTA